ACCATAAAGACCGCCGTCCACATCACGACAGTGATGCTGACCTTTGTAGGAAGAGCAGGAAAACCCTGTAGATGTGGGGAAGAGGCCCTGCTGGTACATGGTTCTGAGCCTCCTCCGCGGGCTCCAGGGTTGCTCGCTAGACTCCAGCAGCGAGCCAGCCCGGCCCCTCTCGCCTCCCAGCAGCCTTAACAGAGAACACAGCATGCGGGGCAGCCCTCCATTAATCCGATCGCGGGGTCCACGCACCACACCCCTGCCTTCCCAAATGGAAACTTCTCTCCTGAAAACTGGATGATTTGATCCGAGATCATTCGGTTTGGTAGATTTCCCCAATCACCGAATCCTCGTTTTACATATTTGTTGCCTGAATCTTATTCAAGTCCCAAACCACCCCAATCTGCACCCGGTACCATTTCTGTTCCCCGAAACCCCTTCACACCACTACACCCATGAGAGTAACTTACAAAGGAATTATTCACCTCAGAACCCTTTGTTCAAAAGAAACCTCAGGAGGAAGCACGTAAATAAAGCAGACTGCAGGATCCTCTGGCCTCTCCCAGCCCCTCTCCCCGGCAGACTGCCCCATGCAGACAGCTGCGGGTGGAGTTTCGGGCCAAACAAGACCCATCGGTGGACTGAAATCTGCCAGTGTATCAACGAGAAGTCGCAGGAGCACTCCGTGACAGCCCCACACCACTCACACTCCAGTGTACATTTATCTTGAAAGGTAAAGCTCACGACTCTGATTAAAAAATCATTCTTACTCAAACTCACTAGACTTTATAAAAATAATCTGTGGTATAAAACAATCTCCACACTGTGCAGAAGAAATCTGTTGGGTGATATAACTAAATATATATGTAGTGCTATAGATTTCTTAAAGTAAAATTTCAAGTGTCGTTATCTCTATTATATAACCTATTCTTTTATTTACAATGCTACCTAACAACATTCCAATGCAAACGTGATTGGGAGAATCCAGGAATGAGCCCGTGCCCAACCCACAGCAGAAATTCCCAGGGCTCAAGACAGGACTCCTCCATTTGCAAAAAAAAGACCCATCCACATCTGCCTGAAAAACATGAGCTAATGGGTCCTACTTTTTGTAACTGTGAGCTTCAAAATGTAAACTTTGCAAGCGAAGGAAACGCTCTTCTGTGGATGTCCAGAAAAGCCCACGTTTGTAGAATCCACTGCATATACACACGTCTGTGTGTGTATTTCTCTAGTGTCCTGTAGTTGGCTTGCAGCAGTTCTCAGAATTGCCTAGGCCCAGACAATCCAGAGACTCCTGGAAAGGGCAGTGCAAAGCCCATCTCCACATGCTGGCATTTAGAGAATATGCGTTTTAATTCATGAGGAAAAAACACATGTCTTATCGCTACGAGCTGCCATAGGAGCAAATAAAATCTCACTGGTTTTGGCACTACAGGGATACATGAGGATGACCATCACAAAGTCCTGCTTCATTCATACCTGGAAGATACCGTCACAACAATGTAAAAGCTAGGTAAAAATTTTCAGTAGTGGTAAATCCTTTCAATTCAAAATTCTGTCCAAACCAAAGTTTACAGTGAACGCAAAATGAGTTTAAAACAAGAATATTCAAAATATCCCACTAGATAATCTGGACTTCTACTTGATGGTAATTTGTAGTTCTCCTGGACCCACTGCAGTCATCCCTCTATGTGGAGGGTTGGGAGGTGGAGATCCAAAATCCACTGATGCAGAAACCGCTTGTATAAAATGACGCACATTTGAAATCACCTCCAGATTACTTATAATACCTAATACAATAAAATACTATGTAAAGAATTGTAAAGACAATATAAGTACTATGTAAAGAGTTGCCAGTAAGTGGCAAATTCAAGTTTTGATTTTTGGAACTTTCTGTAATTTTTTTCCCCCGAATATTTTTGATTTGAGGTTGGACGAACCCAAGAATGAGGAAGGCCATGGATGGCCATCCAACCCATGGATGCGGAAGGCCGACTAACTGTTTTTCAAGTGTAGCTGAGTACATGAACTAATTTCCAAGGGAAGGATGCATTTTAAACTTCCATTTATTTTTGCTACAAAACTAAATCCTCTTTAACAAAAAAAAAAAACAAACTTCCCCAAGCCTCCTAAAGGTCTGGGATACATTCATAGGTGGATTGCTGGTTGCAAATTAACTGTCAGGAATCTTACTTAAAGAACATGCCTATAACCCTGAATTCATTGTTTACAAATCTAGACTAAGAAGAAAAACAAATAGTTCATCAACTGAATTACTGGGCCAGTTGCTTTGCCTAAAACCTAACTCCTGAATGAGACTCATCATTACTAGGCTGAGCACATTAGCTGCTGCGTGTTTCACTAGTTCAGCTTTTGTAAACAGCCAGTGACCAGAAAGGCCGCCCTCATCTCCTTTTCTTTTTTGCCCGCTTGCCCTGAACCGAAAGGGTAGGCAGTGGGGTGGGGTGGGGGGTGGGGGGCAGTCGGTCAGTTCCCTGTGCTTCTTGAAGAGTGTGGTCTGAGGCAGGCCTGGCCGTCTCTCCAAAGATTCAGAAATAGCTGGGACAGACAAACTGAGTTAACTCCTGGAAAACGCTTTCCAATTTAGGTATTTTTCTAGTAAGCCAAGTTCTCCGGAATAATGCCTGGCTGTTCAACTTCTAGTATGCGTTCTCAGTCACATGCTGCTCTGTGCGACCCCACAGACTACAGCCCACTGGGCTCCTCTGTCCATGGAATTTTCCAGGCAAGAATCCTGGAGTGGGTTGCCATTTCCTCCTCCGGGGGATCTTCCCGACCCAGGGACTGAACCCACGTCTCTCGCACTGTAGGCAGATTCTTTACCACCGCACCGCCGGAGAAGCCCCTTAACTTCTAGTACCAGTTCTGAAAGCTTATGTGAGCATGCTCACTATATCACTTTAAAAAACATGAAATCCTTGTACTGCCAACAGATGCTGGGAGCTTCTCATTGTATTCTCAAAGACGCAGAATTCCATTTGCAAGAGGGCCGTCCAGTCCTCCCACCCCAATGGAACAGCCCCCTCCCTGGCCTCATGCTTCGGAGTACAGGGGCCACGGGCTCTGAGCCACAAACTACATATGGCGGAGCCTCAAGACACGGCTCGGCCCGCCACGAAGGAAACCTCACACACGCAGCCCAAGCACCCAGAGGAGCAGAAGGCGGCCAGTGGGAGAGAAAGGAGACAGAGAAGAACCGCAGGATCCCCTGCTCAGCTCCCGAAGGCGTGACAGGACCAGCCACGACAGGAGGGTCGGCCTGGTCCCTCGGGGCAGGGAGAGAACCACCTCGGGAGCCTGGAGATGACAAACTTGTCCCTTGGCTGAGAACGCAAGAGTGGGCGGCTCAAGCATCCTGAGGCTGTCCGAGGCTGCACAAGGTCCCTCTTCTTCTGGACACATGCCGCCCCATCCAGGCAGGATGCAGTCTGTGTCAGAAGCAGCTGGCACGTGTAAGGAAGCCTCCCCAGCAGGGCTGACCCCTTGGGGCCCCTCCTGAGCCAAGAGGACAAGGAGGCCATCTGAACACCAGGCTGACGGCACATACCCCACTGCCACAGGGCTGGTCTCCCTTCCTCCTCAGGCGCTGTCCGTGGCCCTCACACCCCAAGTAATTCAACCAGAGAAGGACTCCTGGGAGGGACCAGCAGCCCCAGGATGTGCTAACGCCCATGCCCACGCCCTCCCGTGGCCTGTGATGGAGCGTCCTCTGCGGGACACTGGGACCCAGCGGCCTCTGTCCCCGCGTGTCTACTCCCTCCCCTGCTCACTCCGGGGTCTCTCTGGCTCAGGAGACCTCCCCACGAGTGACCAAAGAGAATACACTCTCCATAGCCAGGAGCCTGCCTGGACGACGACACACTCGGGGGGAAGGGGCAGGGATCCTGGGCCACTTCTGTCCTCTGACTTGGCCACCCTCCTATCCTGAACGGGGCAGGGACAATGAGACCAGACTCCACGGCTCCCACTCTTCCACAGCTTGGAGGGAGAGAGAAAAAAGGTAGGCATGACATGAGCTCCCTGGAAATGGAGAGCGCGTGAAACATCTGTGGAGATGAGCCCAGGTCGAGCCCCACAACCCCATGGGCACAAGCCAGAGACCCGGATGGCTGACGCCCCAGAGGATATGTGAGGACAGACAAGACTTTACCAGAGGCAGAAGGCGCCCCCAGGCCCCAGCAGCATGTGAGGAGAGAGATGCCCACCTTCTCCTGGCCACGAGCATGGTCAGGGACACTCGGCACAGCACACGTGTGCCACCAGAAGCCCTCTGCCAAGACACACCCCACGGGGGCCAATTCCCGACACCTCACTCTGGTGCCACGGCCCCAAGGAAGCGACAGTGGCCGGGCACAGGGTCAGCAAACGGCCCCGTCCCTGCCTCAGCCTCAAGGCCCGCCCTGAAGGTCCCAAGCAGGCAAAACTTGCTCTCGTGAGAATCAAGCCAGCACACAAAAGAAAAGCTGCCCAGAGGAAATCTAAAACCAAACAGAGGCTGGGGTTTAGTGTTCCACGTGGGATAGGATCAGGGATCTGATCATTCCTGTCGGAAATCAGCTACATTTCTTAGTGGTTTATTTGTTTCTTCTGAGGGTTGAAAAGTCGAGATGCCCAGCACTGCCTAAGTACGGACAAAGCTGGAGAAACCAGATATGGCACTTTTCAATAAATATTTTAAAGCTTCTGAAAGAAATAAGTGGAAAAGAAAAGCAACTGCTGTAAGGCCTGTTTTGCTGTTAAAAATCCTTCCGAGGGAAGAAAAATACCACAGCACAAAATAGCTTAAAAAAGAAAAGGAAAAAGGAATAGACAAATAACTTACTAAAAAATACAAAAACCTGCCCCCGGAGCCACCCTGGCCAGCTCACATCTTGACCCATGAAGCAAAGCTCGCCTCCCACCGCACTCCGTGTCCAAAGATGCAGAGCAGGATGCAGCTTAGGGGGCCCAGAGCCCCCGCCACCCGGCCCGGCCGTCACAGGGCGGCCCGCGAAGCGAGGTTCCAGAGGCCTGCCGGCCAGTCCCCTCTCACCACCACAGGTTTGCTTAAGAGATTAAGTCTCAAGTAAAATTACCTCATGGGGGTCTAAAGGCCACAGTTTTCCCAGGTTAATGTGGGGTCTCCTGTCATTCTGAACAATGACCTCTCAAGTCAAGGGAAACAGCGGAACCTCCAAAAAACTCAGGAGCAGGCGCCCCCTTCTCACCCCAGTCAACCTCTCCCCATCGCCCACCAACTCGCCTACCCTCAAGGTGAAGAGATCAGTTTCCAAATAAAATGGTCTAAAGCAATGGGAAGGAAACGCCTTCACAAATAAGTGATGAATGCCCAGACTCGGCCCAGACAGCCAACCTACAGTGGATGACAATTATTTACAAGGGGACGTTATCAACGAAAAACAGGAGCACTCCCTAGAAGACTCACAACTTTTTTTCTTTTTCTCTATTTCTTTTAAACTTTCTTATCATAAAAGCCAACTTACATTAAAATATACTTACTACGAGACAACACAACTAATAAAATATATAATAAAACTTACACAAGTAGAAAATTCTGAGGTATTTCTGGTTTGAGGTGGTCTGTGGTCGTGAAGTTTTAATTCTTTTACTTTTCAAAATTTAAACCTCGGAAGCCACATAGCAAAGCGTTTGTGTGGATGTGTGTGTTTTGTTTTGTTTTTTTTTAATTTGCATGTTTCATAAATTAAAAAAAAAAAACTCAGGTTGAAACAGCAGCATTAGGAACACTGACTGACGAGAGCAAGGTTATGGCAAAACAGAGAAACGGTTTTTTCAAATATGCACCTCTTGTAAGGGGGTCTGGAGAAAGCTGTGTCCACGAGTAATGTCACCACCCAGGGCAGAGCCAGCGCCGCAGGACTCGGGCTCTCCAGGGAGACAGGCCTTGGCCAGGCCGGACCCAGGAAATCCTCTCGCCCCGGCTGTGCAGGGCGCCCCCCCGTGGCCGTTTCCCTGAACTGCTCCAGGAGGAAACTATTTCAACTTTTCTTCCATTATAGATATCTACAGTACAATGTCTCATGAAGACTGTACTCACTAAAAGCCGAACCTTAAAATCAGGGCAGAAAAAAACGTTGTGTCCTATGCCCAAGCCCAAGAGAGTGAAAAAAAAACTGGACAGGGCAAACAGATGGGCCAGAGCCACACCTGATTTCAGACTTTCTCCAAACCCCGCTCTTGCCGTTCATGCTCGGCCTCCAGGCGCTCCTTCCCCTCGATTCCGGGTTACCTGAGTAGTCTCACAGCAAAGGATGTTGCTCCAAATGTGCCCGAGTCCAGTGTAGCTCTGCTCCAGAACCCACCCCCAGCTCCGTCCTCCCCTCCAGTCCAAACCATCCTCATCCTCAGCCCAGTTTTTCCTCGGTCAGGACAACACCCGTTAATCCGTGAAAAGACACGCCTGCTGTTTCTTAAACTCACTGTCTAGAAAGGGAGAAAAACACAGAGAAGGTGAGGCGGGAGGGGGACGAGGGCAGAGGGAAACTCCTCGTATGAGGAAGATGTGTTCTTATGTAACAGTCTTCAAAGGTTCCTCTAGGTAGAGTTTGCAGCATTAAGTTTCCTAAGACAGGATGGGTTTCTCTGTGTCACAGGTTCTGAGACAACAAACAAAGAGAAAGCGGGGAAAAATGGGCCCCGGAGGGCGGGAGGCGGCCGAGGCTCTTCAGCAAGGCGCTGGTTCTGCATTCACAGCTCAGCACCTCAACGCCTGCTGACGTGTCCGCTGTTTGCGATACAGTAGAGCAATGTGCTGGTAAAAACTGATCCAATCCAAAAAATAATATTAATAATAATAATTATAATAATTATAATAATAATAAAAAGTCAAGGTAAAATAGCAGCTGCATTTTATGTGTTTGTTGGTATTATGGGATTTCCAAAACAAAACACAACTTTTTTTTTGTTGTTTTTTTTTCCTTTCCTCTTCAGATCTACTGAGTCTGGAGATCCACTCGTGTCCTGGGCTTAGATGCTCGACTCCTTCGGGGGCAGGTCCACGTTGGTGACGGAGGTCACCAGAGAGACAAGACAGTCCGAGGTAGTGCCGTTGACCGACCTCCGGATCAGGGACACGCGCTCCTCCACGCAGCCCGCGGACAGGCGAGCCTCCGCGTCGTGGTCCCAGCACTCCTCGATGGTCACACAGAGCTGGGCCAGGCCCTGCACGCCGGCGGGAGAGGAAACACATGCCTTTGCTGGTGGCCGTCAGCGAGGACAGGCAAACCAGACGGTGCTCCCGAGGACAGAGCCCACAGGCCCGTCCACAGGGGTCCGGGGGAAGCTCCCCTGCCAGCAGTCAGCATCCTGAGCCCACCGGCCTCCCCCACAGCCCCCAGGAAAGGGCGGGAATCCAGGGCCCCACGGGGCTGCCTGCCTTGGAGTAGTGACACTGCAACAAAATCTTCGGCAAAGCCCAAGTCACACAGGAGCCCAGTGTGCAGGTACAGTGGAGACAGAGGGGGGCTTCATCCCACCCTTTTCCCACGGCCCTCAGAACCTCCCCAGAGTCCAGGGAACCTGGCCTGCACCCTGCGCTGGAACCAACTGCGTGCAGCCGGGAAAGGCCACAAGATGAGCAAAGAGCCCACCCATATCCGGGAGCAATCCAGCCTGCTCGGCACTAGGCCACGCTCAGACCTCTCTGGACCTGCTCACGTCAGGGAACTGGACTGGTAACTGCAGCATCTCTGTCCTGAGAGACTGAAAGTCTGAAGCAGAAGGTAAGGCCCAACTTCCCTCTCCCTGTGCCTAAATTTTCTCTGTTTGCAGTCCTGGGTTTCACGGAGCAAGCAGCATGGCAGCAGAACCTGGCCTCCACGGCTTAAACCCTGACCGTGTGGGAAGAGGGCTAGCCCCCAGTGATGTCCTTCTGAATCAACCCTAGGGTACCAGGGGGAAGGATGCAACGGCGCTCAAGGCAAATGTCCTTCCAAGAAATGGGAACGGCTTACACAGCTGGGGTCTTTTGTACATGTCCCCAGACTGGAGGGGCCCAGATACCACGGAGCTCAGCCCAGGCCCAAGAAACTGATGAGGGCAGGGGAAAGCGATTACTTCATCAGTGCTAAGCCACATGAAACACAAGTGACCGGTCCCTGCCCAGTGAGGTTCAGTAACTCCTTAAATCTAATACTACCCTGAGGAGACAAGAGCTCAGAGAAATCAAGCAATTTGCTTGATGTCACCCAGCTACTGATGACAGATCCAGGATTTCCGTCCCATGTGTCAGGTCCCATCACTCTCTTAATCCAGGGCCCCACGGGGCTGCCTGCCTTGGAGTAGTGACACTGCAACAAAATCTTCGGCAAAGCCCAAGTCACACAGGAGCCCAGTGTGCAGGTACAGTGGAGACAGAGGGGGGCTTCATCCCACCCTTTTCCCACGGCCCTCAGAACCTCCCCAGAGTCCAGGGAACCTGGCCTGCACCCTGCGCTGGAACCAACTGCGTGCAGCCGGGAAAGGCCACAAGATGAGCAAAGAGCCCACCCATATCCGGGAGCAATCCAGCCTGCTCGGCACTAGGCCACGCTCAGACCTCTCTGGACCTGCTCACGTCAGGGAACTGGACTGGTAACTGCAGCATCTCTGTCCTGAGAGACTGAAAGTCTGAAGCAGAAGGTAAGGCCCAACTTCCCTCTCCCTGTGCCTAAATTTTCTCTGTTTGCAGTCCTGGGTTTCACGGAGCAAGCAGCATGGCAGCAGAACCTGGCCTCCACGGCTCAAACCCTGACCGTGTGGGAAGAGGGCTAGCCCCCAGTGATGTCCTTCTGAATCAACCCTAGGGTACCAGGGGGAAGGATGCAACGGCGCTCAAGGCAAATGTCCTTCCAAGAAATGGGAACGGCTTACACAGCTGGGGTCTTTTGTACATGTCCCCAGACTGGAGGGGCCCAGATACCACGGAGCTCAGCCCAGGCCCAAGAAACTGATGAGGGCAGGGGAAAGCGATTACTTCATCAGCGCTAAGCCACATGAAACACTTAAGTGACCGGTCCCTGCCCAGTGAGGTTCAGTAACTCCTTAAATCTAATACTACCCTGAGGAGACAAGAGCTCAGAGAAATCAAGCAATTTGCTTGATGTCACCCAGCTACTGATGACAGATCCAGGATTTCCGTCCCATGTGTCAGGTCCCATCACTCTCTTAGGTCAAAACCAGAGCCGCCGCCTTGGAGAACACTAACCTGCACAGACACCCCGCTGGTGGAAGGGAGGGAATGCAGCGGGGGGAGGCGGGGACGGTCCTGCAGCCTGAGCCCTCCACTCTGGCCCTGCCGCACCGCACGGCTGGGTGAAGCTTCTCTCCTGGCTGTCAGCATCCCGCGCCCACAGCCTCCTCCGCAGCCCCAAAGCGGCTGTCCCTGCCCCCCACCGACCCCTCACCGGGTGTGTCAGCCAGTGATCCTTGATGGCAGGCCGCATCTTCTTGTGCACCACCACCTCCTGCAGCTCCTCCAGTGACGGGTGCTGGCCGATCTCCTCCTCAAAAGGCAGCATGTACTCATCCACAGGTCCTGGAGGAGAAAGTGAGTCCCGGGGGTCACCCGAGTGCCTCACTCCTCCCCCAGCAAGCCCAGGACGCTCGGGGCGCCTGCCCTGCTCACCGTCGGCAGCTCTGCAGCGGGACACGAGCTCCCACAGCACCAGCCCCATGGCGTACATGTCGATGCGCAGAAAGGCGTCTCTCTGGAAGTTGATGGCTCCCTCGAGCACCTCGGGGGCCATGTACCGCCGCGTGCCCACCTGCGTGAGGACAGGGGAGGGGCTGTGGTCACTGAGCATGCCCGGCTGCACTCACAGGACATGGGAGCTCCATCCCGTGTGCACAGCAGGGCCATCGACAATGACCACTGTCCACAGTGGCCGTGGGGGGGAGGGGAGGCCTCCAAGGGGCACGATGCAATGACTGAAGTATGCAATGACTGAAGTACCGCTCCAGACAGTAGTAATCGACCACAGAACTGCTGCCTCTTTACTCCCTCAACACCACCAGGGGCTCCACAGATAATGTGTATTTTACTGAGACTGACACCAAAATCAGAAGGGGGAGAATAGTTCCAAATATTAACAGCAGTTGTTTTAGGATGATCCACTCAGGTTTAACTTTAGGTTACTTTGTCTCTAGGTTTTTTATTTGGATTCTTAATATACACTTATTTATTATATTATTTTTACCTTGTTTAATAATTACAACTGAAAGAGGGAAGGGAGATCTGTTTCTCGCTGACCGGCACAGGAAGCCATGCCCCCCTCCAGTCCTCACCTTCCCACTGGTGAAGTGAGAGTGCTGCCCCTGGGGCTCTCGGGCACCTCTGGGCCCATGGGGTGACCCCTGTCCCCTGCCAGCTGACACCAGAGGGGCAGCGTCCAACCCCACCTTCTACCCCGAGGCTCATCACCTGCCCGTGAGTGTCCCCCGGAGGTTTCCCTGGCTCAAACCGAACAGCCAGGCCAAAGTCAGCCAGCACAGCAGTGAGGTCACTCTTCAGCAATACATTCTTGCTCTTAAAGTCCCTGTGGAGACAGTGGACTGAGATGGAGCCGAACCTGTGGTCCGATCGGCCCTGTTCCTGCCTTCCCACCTGGACTCCAGAGCCCTAAGCCAGGGCCCATCCCACCCTGTGGGGAGCGGGGTCTGCACCAGGTGAAGTTCCACGAAGCCACACGGGCGGGCAGCTTGAGGACACTCCCCTCCGTCGATGTGAGAATCCCTGACTGCGCTTCAACCAGAGCTGTCAAAGCAATGCCAACCCCCGTCCAGTCCCCAGCATCAAAGGCCGGCCCTCACATTCTCAGAGGGTTTGCGGAGGGGCACTGCAGCTGGGGATGTGAGTTTCCTGGCCAGAATTTACACCGTCTGCGATGTGAGTGAGAAGAGAAGTTTCAACGAATGTGCCTGATTCTGAGCAGGCTGAAGGGCAGAGGTCCCCAACCTCCACGATCTAACGCCTGATGATCTGGGGTGGAGCCAATACAGTAACAACAAAAATAAAGTACACATGTTTAAATAACATGTGTTATAAATAACACATGTTTAAAATAACATGTGTTAAATAACATGTTTAAATCAACCTTTTAAACCACCCTCACCTCAGTCTGTAGAAAAACTGTCTTCCACAAAACTGGTCCCTGCTGCCAGAAAGGTTGGGGACTGCTGCCCCAGAAGTTTGAGCCGCTCTGGAGGTGGCGGAGTGGGTGCTGGGGTTGCGCTCAGCCCTGCCTTTCCCTAGCCACTCCTCAACTTCCTCATGCCTGTCTCAGCCTTACTGTGAGGAATAACTGATGGACAAATGCTTAGGGCCATCCCTGGCTCACTTACTGTGCACTAGTGTTAGGCTGGACCCTATGGAAGAGTCAACATTCAACTGTGCTCGACCTACAAAACTGGTAATTTCATACAGTCAACACCCTATGTCATTGATGTTATTCCCGTTGGGGACCTTCAGCTTTGAACCCCAGAATCTGAGACTCCCTCACAGTCAGGGAACCACACTAAACTAAGTCCTCTTTTCTGTGCTGCTGTTCCTTCACCTGTAAGAAGGGCTGGGGAAAATAGTACTTATCTCACAGAGCAGTTACGAGGCTTAAATGATTTGGCATTTCGGAGTGTTCAGAGTGGTGCCTGCCACTGTGATGAGAAGGTAACCAGACAGACTGGCTCTCAAAGCACCATCCAAGGACTCCAGAGAATCCCCGAGACTGTTTCAGGGGATCTGCAAGGTTAACATTCCTTTCATAATAATCCGTTATTTGCCTTTCTCCCAGGACTACTGAGTCTTCCAGAGGCTACATACACACGTCATCGCTCTGAGTGAATTAACAGGATGTGTGTGCTCTAATACAGCAAGGATCAACACGCAGAACTCCAACCAGGGACAGAATCAGCACTTCTTTCTGTGGCCACTGGAGGGCACCAGAGAACCAGCTTGCAAGACCACAGCCTGAGCCGACAAGGGTTGAAGACAGGGGAAGGGCCTGGTGGGCCCAGGGTTTTGTGTGGTTGCCTCTGACACACCACAGAGCAGCTAAGCATGTTTATGAGGCTGAGACCCACCCCGGGCCCCGCTCTCACCCTCCAGCCCTCTCTGCGGCTCCGGGCCGAGAAGAGAGGGCGACTGCTAGCCGGTACCTGTGGGCGATAGACGGCTTGTGGCTGAGACCCCCCGGGCCCCGCTCTCACCCTCCAGCCCTCTCTGTGGCTCTGGGCCGAGAAGAGAGGGCAACTGCTAGCCGGTACCTGTGGGCGATAGACGGCTTGTGGCTGAGACCCCCCGGGCCCTGCTCTCACCCTCCAGCCCTCTCTGCGGCTCCGGGCCGAGAAGAGAGGGCGACTGCTAGCCGGTACCTGTGGGCGATAGACGGCTTGTGGCCCTCACCCCGGCACCAGGGCACATCCTCGTGCAGGTATGAGAGGCCTCTGGACATGGTCTCTGCCACGTGACACAGCTCGTTCCATGTGATGATGTTCCCCTTGAGGTAATCCGTGAGGGAGCCCTACAGGAGACAGCACCAGCTCTGTGCATGCGGGCAGGACCCCCCGGAGGGCCGTACCCGTGGGTCAGATGGCTGAGCTCCCCACCAGGAGGTTGGCACCGACGAGGCCAGGAGGGCTTGGGAAGCAGGTGGTGTCAGACAGTGATAATCATGAAGTCACTACTCCTGTTTGCAAAAGCTGATCCCAGGAAGAGGCATTCTTCCTGCAGACCCTCGTGTCCACACCCACCCACGGTGGGGCCCACGGTCACCTCCCGGGGGAGCAGGGTCCACGGGGCGAGGCTCACCTTGTCGTGGAAGGCCGTGATGAGCCACAGCTCCACCTCCAGGTTGGAGCCGCGCTTCTCCGCGGCAATGAACTGCAGCAGGTTCTCATGCTTCATGCCAGGCGTGCTGAAGATCTCCCGTTCACTCTGCCACGACTGCTTGTCCTGAAGCAGGGGGGCACGGCTGAACCCCACCACAGCCACGCCTCCTGGTGGCTTCCCACCCACTCCCAACCTCAGCCTGTCAGGGGGCAGAGCAGGACTGAGCCGGGCCAAGGACCACAGGCCAGCGGTGAGCCCTGAGATCACTGCGGCCAGCACCGGATTTATGGCAGGGGGGCACTGAGGTCCAGAGTGACAGAAATGAGTGGCCCAGGACCACCCAGCCAACGAGAAGCAGAGCAGGCCTGCTTGTGCCAAGTGTCCTGGGCAACGGCTCCATTAGCCTGATGTCCAGGGCCTCTAAGCAGAACCTGCTGTCAAAGCAAAACCCTCAAAACCAGGGTGGACTGAGGTTCTGCAAATCAAGGCTTTGCAAAGCCCTACCCTAGGCCCATGGTAAATGCTGCCACTGCAATGAGCCCATTCCTCTAGCACCCTGCTTGCACAGGGTACGGACTGCTCTTGGGCAGGAGGGCTCAGGCCCCAGCCAGATGACCTGGAGACCCCCCCACAGGCAGGCACGCACCTGGAGTGGGAAGATCTTGACAGCCACGAAGTCGTTCATGAGCTGCGCCTTCCAGACACAACCAAAGCGCCCCCGAGCCTTGATCTCCAGCAGTTGCAGCGGCTTCAGGCCCACCAGAGGGGACGGGGGTGGAGGTCCAGGGTCCTGGGGAGATCGAGGGCTTAATAGGATCTGGCCTTAATAGGATCTACCCCGCCCCGCCCTGAGCCAGCCCCGTCTCACCTCATGGATGTCCACGTGGCCATAGGGGGGCTTGCGATGTCGGTACATCCAGAAGGCCAGCAGGACAATGAGGGAGAGGCCCCCGATGGGCAGCAGCGAGTAGGCCAGCACAGTGAGCAGGGTGGGGGCTGGCGGGGGTGGCTCGTACGTGACTGAGGGACACACGGAGCCCAGCGTCACACAGTCGGCCTACCTGCACAGCTCCAGGGCCAGACCAGAGACCCCTGCAGCCACTCCCCACCCCACGCAGGAGCCGAGCCTCGGAGGGGCCAAAGCCAGCCCCCGTCTGCTCCCCCCACGCCCTCACCTTCTGGGCCGCCCGCCTCGGGCAGGTGGGTGAAGCGCTCGTTGCAGAAGTTGCCTTCGCAGCAGCAGAAGTACACCTGGGGGTTCTCCTCGGTGGCCACGCACTCCTGCCTGGAGGCACGGTTTCCCATCCACAACTCGGCTGAGGGCCAGACTCCCCAGGGCGGCCCAGCAAACCCCTCCCCACAGACAGAGATCCCTATGGGGAACTGTGGAGGCTGGGCTCCCCGGAAGCGGGACCCAGGGTCAGGAGGGGGATCCAAGGGTGGACGCCCTCCTCCAGCATCACTGGGGACCTCAAAACCCGGGAGGGCTGGGACCCGGCGAGAGCCCGTATGGACTCAACACCCGGCCTCGGGGGCTCCGGCACCTGTCGTAGCAGTTGAAGTCGTCCAGCCAGCAGCCTTTCTTGACGAGCTCGATGGTGCCCGAGCTGTTGCGCCAGGAGGCGTAGCAGTGCAGCCGCTTGTCCTGCTCGCCCTCGCAGCGCTCCAGGCCGCTCTGGTTGGTGCGCTCCAGCTCCCAGTTGGCGTTGTAGTAGATGCACTCCCGCGTCTCGGCCTCCCCGCGCCCGGAACCTGCACCCGGGGGAGGGAGCTGCCGCTGAACCGCCCCGGGCCGTGGGGTGGAGGAGGGGCGGGCTCAGACTGGCAGCCCAGACTGCCCTATCCAGAGGGCACACGGGACCCACTGCATCCATGGCAGCAGATCTAGTGGGGGTCCTCGGAGACTGGTGACCTATGGGCCAGACCTGCAAGCCGGGCTACAGACGGGGTGCTGGGCACAACCCCACCTTCCTTCCCCCGACTGCAGCACACAACATTGCCAGGCTCTTGAATATGCTCGGCTTCCAGGCGTCACACAAGTTACTACCTCTGGCCGCAAGACGTTCCCCACTTTCTCCTTTAAATGTTGGCACTTCTCTCTCCCTGGAGGCCAGGCCAATTACTTTCCACTTCCACAGGCCTTTGCACTTCTTCCATCACCTCATTTATCCCCGGTGACTAATTGCCTCTTGCTGTTTAAAGGGTTATTCCAGACATCCAAAAAGTATAAAAATAATGCAACCAAAGATAATCCCCCAGAGACAATAACATAATAAACACTCATATAAGAAACAAAACATTACAAATGCGCTTGATGATTGCTTCTTAAATGTCAGGCTTCCCCCACAGGACTGCAAAGCTGATGCTTTGACAGCAGAAACCTTGAACTGTCTTGAGTGCTAAAACCAGGTCCAGACACAGGCTGGAAAGATGGGCAGAGGCGCCGAAGGAAGGACGGACCAATAATCAGACAGAAGGACATAGTTCTCTCCAGGCTGGAGCTGGATTGTCAAGGGAGGGGAAAACAAGGGATGGCCTCAGCCTGCAGCCCAAGCCCTAGGGTCCATCTCCGCTCAGACAAGCCTCCACACCCCGTATAAAGCTGGGAGCCCGAACAAGAAAAGTCACCAGACAGCAGGAGTGTCCAAGCTTGGCCCAGCTCCTCTCTCCAGGCGGCTGACCAGGCGGGGACCCCTCTGGCCACTACTGTGAGCAGGACCCACGCCAGCAGGGCTGGAAACTCCGAATCTCAAGGCTGCAGGTAAGACCTGGGGTCAGGATGTCCGTGGACCCGCACCTGACAAGACCCTCCTACATGTGCGTGCGTGCCAAGTCACTCAGTCGTGTTTGATTCTCTGTGACCCCACGGACTGCAGCCTGCCGGGCTCCTCTGTCCATGGGATTCTCCAGGCAAGAATTCTGGAGTGGGTTGCCATGCCCTCCTCTAGAGGATCTTCCTGACCCAGGGATGGAACTCCCGCACTGGCAGACGGTCCCTTACTACTAGCGCCACCTGGGGAACCCCACACACCAACTGAAAAAAAGGGGCCTCGACCCCATTCAGGTCCTGGTTCGGATGCCTCCCGGCAAGCGCCCCAGCCACCTCGTGCCTCTGTTTCCCCACTCGTGTGAAGGGGATGCTAACGAACCCACTTCCTTGGCTGTCCCAAGAATGACTTGAGTTGTTGCATTTTAAGTGAGAACAACGCCTGGCCCCATCACTGGTATATTAGAGTCAGACCCCTCCCCACGGCCAGCGCCCTTTCGTCACAGCACCAGCCCCCCGCCCCACCAGGCTGGGGGTGCACACCGACACCTGCAAGAGTGTGCTCAGAGCCGGCGGGGGACTCGGGAGGCTCCATGCGCCCCCCACTCCCAGACTCTGCTGCCAGCTGGAGAGGAATCCCCCTCCTCCCTCCTCCCTGGCACTCCTGCACACACTCAGCTATTCATAGCCTCTGGCAACACTCCAACCGCAAGGCCGCCTCCGCCTTTTAATAGACACAGGGCTCCTGCCCACACTCATACCGCCGGGGCCCCTACACAGGAGGCTCCCCCGACCCCGCCCACTCACCCATCCCAGCAGGAGAAGCAGCTGTGCCCCCACTTGCTGCCTCAGAGCCCAGAGGGGCACCTCCCCCGAAGACATGAGGGTAAGGGGTTCATTTTACCCCGAGCACCAGCCAACCCAAGCACTAGCCTCTCAAGGAAGCAGGCATACAAGCACAAGGCGGTCCTTATGCTCCAAGGGGTCTAAACCCCAGTGGGAAGACACCCCTGCTGCTCCCCAAGCTCCCAGTCCGGGCGAGACACGGAAAGCCCAATCCTGGACACACAGAACCACCTGAAGAAAGAGTACACACAGATTCCACTCAGAACCCGCGAGCTGAGAGCAGGATGAACCTGAACGGAGGGGCTTTGACACGCAAGGTCTGTTTCCCAGGCCAGCTGGCCTTGGATGCACCCAACTTGCACCTGGGGAGACAAGGGGGAAATCCAATGGGGAGAGTGCGGGCTGGAGGCCTGAGGCAGACCTTGGAGGTAGGGGGTGCAGCCGGAGCAGCCACGCCTCCCCTGGGGTCCCCCAGACTCTGGGTCTGGGGAACATTCAGCTCAGCCAGCAGCTCTCAGAGGTACCACAGACCCCAGGAGCCAGCCGGCCACTGCACTCTGCCCTTGGTTCCCGGGGCTCCCTCAACAGCCCTGCCTCCCTGTGGGCGCAGTCCCCCTACACTGTAGAGGGGTGAGAATGGGGTGCCAGCCAGCACCCACCCACCTCAGGCCCCCTGCACCAGCTCACCACCCCCCGCTCCCTGCAGGAGCCACCAGGCCAGAGGGGCGACCGGGTGAGGCAAGCCCAGCCTTCTCCCGCGTCGTCCAACCTCCAGGTCTGCGCAGAGACGAGAGGCGCCCCTCCCACCACCACACAAGCGCACAAGGGGTCAGGCTCCCTTCCCTGGAGGCCGTGCCCTGGGCTCCCCTCACTCTGCCTCGTCGGAGGGACCTGCCCTGGGCTGAGCACCCGCTATCACCGCATGTTCCTCCAGAGCAGCCAAGGAGGGTCCCGAAGGTGGGGGCGCCCAGCGACAATGTCCGGATCTGAGTTTGTGACTCCACCTCCCCCGGTCCACACAGGATGCTCTTCACCATCTTCCCCACGACCAGAGTAGGATGGCTGGTGTGTGAGGGATAAAGGGAAACTAAGTGGAGGTGAGGAGGAGGGCTGGAGCATCAAACACGTGCACACACGTGTTCACGCTCTGTGCAATGACACACACACACAAGAGGCAGAAGAGAGTCCCAAACTGGACCATGTCTGTCTCTGAACTTCTCCCACTCAAGAGAATAACTCTACCCAAGACACTTACTAAGTGTCAAAACCAGGTTTTGAGCCCAGGGCTGCCTCGCTGTGGAGTACGTACCCTCTTCACCTGCTCTGCGACCCCTCTACACTCAGGGTTAGTGAACAGCTCGCTGTACGGCCTGACCACAACCTCAGGTCCATCCTCCTGTCGGACCTCTAGGTCATTCCAACATTGGCTGATGTAAGCCCTGCCGCCATGGACCCCTCCCGGGGTCCTCTCCTGTGCGTTTTCTCATGAGCGGGTGTTCCTCTAGGGGATACACCACAGGTTAGAGGTCAGAGATGGGGGGACACAGGGACGAGCATCTCCAACTCCTGGACACAGTCACACTGTTCCCCCACGTGGATGGACCACTGTACATGCCCAAGAGACTCCAGCCCCACTGAGCCACGCCCTCAGCCCCTGAGATGTGCTAACCCGGTCAGGGTGAAACCGGATGTCATGGTTGTGATCACCATCTCCTAATCGCCTGTGAGAATGGTCATGCGTGTGTTTGTCAGCCCCTTCTGAAAACTGCCTGCTCACAACCTTTCCCATTTTTCCGCTGGGCTGCTTCTCCTTTGGGTTATAGAAAATTTTTTATATTCCAATAAAACTTTTCTTACTACAAAATAACCCCTTTCATTTGTTTGCTTGCTCCTTGCCAGAAAGCCCACTTTAATGTGACACTGACACAGCTGTATGACATTTCTTGTAGTTAGTATTTTCCCAATTTATCTCTGTCCAACTCGTACTTCAAATCTTTCTGTACCTTTTTTTATCCCAACTCAATCTAATACTGTCTTTGATCCAAAATTGAATCCTGGGTCCAGGAAGATTCCATATGCTGCGGAGCAGCTAGGCCTGTACACCGAACTACTGAAGCTACACGCTCAGGAGCCCGTGCTTCATGACAAGAGAAGCCACCGCAATGAGAAGTCCGCACGCTGCAACTGGAGTAGACCCCGCCTGCCACAACTAGAGAAAGCCTGCACACTGCAACGAAGACCCAACACAGCCAAGAGAAGCCCTAGAACCCAGGCCCATTACAAGGACCACTATGTTAAAGAAACTGCAGATATCAAGGGAACATTTCATGCAAGGATGGGCACAAATGAAGGACAGAAATGGTAAGGACCTAACAGAAGCAGAAGAGATTAAGAAGAGGTGGCAAGAATACACAGAAGAATGAAACAAAAAAAGTTCTTAATGACACAGACAACCATGATGGTGTGATCACTCACCTAGAGCCAGACATCCTCAAGTGGGCCTTGGGAAATGCTAGTACAAACAAAGCTGGTGGAGGTGATGAAATTCTAGCTGAGCTATTTCAAATCCTAAAAGATGATGCTATTAAAGTGCTGCACTTACTATGTCAGCAAAATTGGAAAACTCAGCAGTGGCCACAGGACACTCCAATTCCAAGGGGCAGTGCCAAACAATGTTCAATCTACCACACAACTGCGCTCGTTTCACATGCTAGCAAGGTCCTGCTCAAAATCCTTCAAACTAGGCTTTAGCAGTATGTCACCTGAGAACTTCCAGATGTGCAAGTTGAATTTAGAAAAGGCAGAAGAACTAGAAATCAAACTGTCAACATCTGTTGGATCATAGAGAAAGCAAGAGAATTCCAGAAAAACATCTGCTTCATTGACTATGCTAAAGTCTTTGAATCACAACAAACTGGAAAATTCTTAAAAGAGAAGGGAATAACAGACCACCTTACCTGTCTCCTGAGAAACCTATATGCAGATCAAGAAGCAACAGTTAGAACCGGACATGGAACAACAGACTGGTTCAATACTGGGAAAGGAGTACAACAAGGCTATATATTGTCACCTGCTTATTTAACTTCTATGCAGAGTACATCATGTGAAATGCTGGGCTGGATGAAGCTCAAGCTGGAAT